GCAATAGAGTGTGACTGTTTCAAAAAAAAAGAAAAGCAATTCATAGGCATTCAACCATATCATATTGTAGATGTACAGACAATTCTGCCTCACAGAATCTTACTAGCTTTCTTTTCATTACTTCATTTGAAAAAAATGGGAAGATAGAGAAATAAAGAACAAAAGGGTTTACTTTGTAAATGTTTTTCTTCACTTAAACTCTTTCAAAAAAGACTTAAAAGCTTTATGTTCTAAGTCCCTTTTGCCATGCATAGGAATCCTAGAGAAAAGAGAAAGAATGAAAACTTACAGTAATAATAAAGAACTAACTCCTTTTAAACACTACGATTTCCACTAGGTTAATAAGCATTATTATAGCTCTAACTTGTTCACTAATGAAAGTGGTTCCAGTATGCTTTCAAATATACCCCAAGGAAATATGTTAGGTAGTTTCCTAAAACACATGTGAATCTTTCAGTATAAGCAGGATATTCATCTAAATGGATACTTACCTTATAATCAAAGTTTTCATTTAAGAAGTTCTTACGAAGTGCATCTGACAGGTACAGAACTGTCGTAATAATAACACTAGTGATAGAAAAGAATATAGTTTAAGTTTAGAACTATACATTAGTGAAAATCACTTAGTATGTAAGAGTAAAAAGTAACTAGGATAAAAGAAAACCACCTTTAGTAAGCAAGTGGGACATTAATAGAAAATTCCTGTTTGAAATAAAAATAAGATGCCAGGCCCCCGCCCCCACCCCAAAGAAAAAGAAATGGGAAAAGAAAGAAGTCTATCACTGTAGTTGGGAGTTTCTTTGTTTGGGAGACACAGAAAGATGTATGAATTCATATGACTCAGACAAAAATACGTTATTAGCCCAATGTTTTGTAATGTTTTTATCCATTTCTGAACAAAGCAAAATGATTTAATATGAACATAATATTCTGTATTTGATTATCATGAAAGAAAACCAGGGTTTTTAAAAACCCAGAGAAAGAAATGGAGCCCAAAGATGAAATGGATAGAATAAAATGATAGAATATATTGAACACGTATTAGCCTCCTCTCGGAGCTCTCCGGCTCTAGGTGTTAGAGAGCGTATAAGAGCTACAGAAGGCAGCTTGCCCTTCTCAAGGGGAGAAGATTGCCACTAAAGAAATAATTACGGGTCATAAAATTATCTGTAACCTAGCACTAAGCTGTGTGAAACCACCAGAGTGATACAGCCATTCAGAGAAAGGGGCATCATCCAGGCCTCAGAAATAGGGAAGGCTGGGGACATACACAGCTGTACATAGCTGGCTGGTCAGCATTCCTGGTTAGTTTTGGAATTCTCTAATTTATTCCAAATCTGATCATTTTTATAACCAGAAGAATGTATTTTTAAATTGAATGTATTTCCAACTGGTTCATTTAATGATAGATAAACATGATGTTGAGGATAAACTACCCCTAAACTGCTATAACTAAGCACTTAATACAAAATGGTTGATATTTAAAACCTCTTGCCCTTTCCTGCGATGCGTGCAGAGTGTTGTGGTGATGTGAGAAAGTCCCAGTTCTCAACACAGATTTGGTACTGAAGGATGTGGTTGTATATTCATGGGTAAAATAAAACAAAACACCCCCACCAACTTCATGCCTTGTTTATAATGCTGTAAAACACAGACTAGAATACAATTAACTAAGTAGAAGAATATTAATAGTTTTTGAAAGGCATCAATGTTATTATTGTTGTTAACCCGCTAGAAAACTCATCATTACAGGTTTCTTGTGGGATAAGGAAACATTAGCCAGGCCAAGCTGGATAGCTGAATGTGACAGTTTATGGTAAAGAAAGGGCAAGAAGGAGACCACCATTTCACAGGAATCTGATCTATCATGAACAGACACTGTGTTATATGCATGTACCTCTTATACATGTGATGTACACCTTTCAGCAAATCTCACTGGGAAAGTTAAGTATAAGAAAAACCTATGAGTTTGAGAAATCCTGTTGCTTCTTTAGCCCCCCAAACGGCCAGTGTCATAGGAACTTCATATGAAAGAGATAAGTCATCTGCAAGCAATGGTATAATGTGGCAATATTCCATAGACAATGGTAAGACCAGTGATCATACTGAAGAAATCACTGAAACTCCCAAAAGGATATTACTCCAATTTTTATTATATGAAACTAAAGCTCAGTCATTAGAAAGTGAAATGCCATCAGGTGAGGAAGTGGTTCTTTGGCTAGCATCTACTGTGTTTCCCCGAAAATATGACACTGTCTTATATTTATTTTTTCTCAAGAAGACACACTAGGGCTTATTTTCAGGGGATGTCTTTCTCTCCGTGCCAAAATGCATGGTGTGGCTATGCAGCATATCTGGGTAGGGCTTATATTTAACAAATGCATAGAAATCCTGCTAGGGCTTATTTTGGGGGTAGGTCTTACTTTCAGGGAAACATGATAGTATAAATTCATTGGGCTTCTAAATTTAAACAAGGAAAATTTGTATCTTTTTTTTTTTTTTT